TAATTCTCTTAAATACAAAACATAACGCGACTGCTCCCCTGACAGTGCTGTAGTAATAAAAAATAGAAAAGGAAAACAATAACGTTGGTATCCTTATTGCCAGTGTGTGCCAGGAACTGCTTTTTCCCTTTACAAAAGCCCTGCTCCTCGTGCCGCTTAAGGCGACCGTCTCCCTCTCCCTTGAGGGCTGATCCCGCGCCGGAACAAAGTCCCATTATTCCTCAGGCTGGAAAAGGGGAATTAAAAAATGGTTGCAAGAAAAGCCCAACAGTTTCCTGCTTTAAAAACAGCTCTTGGAAAGGGTCCGAGCAGTACAGTAGAGAGCTACAGTTACTTCTAGTGCTGGTAAAGTCCTTACAAAATAATATAACCCAAACGAACCCCAAATTAAATTAACCTGGAGCAGGACAAGGGGGCTGGGGGAGCCCCCCCTGCTCTATAGATAAAAATCAAGTGAAGAAAAATACAAATAAAAATAAAGGATTCCTTAGAAAACTCCAGTTTTCCGGCGCGCAGGAAGGCACACGAGCGCGAAGGCAACGTGAGCTGGTGGGTACCCGACCAGCCCCTGCTACACGTGAGGTGGGTACGGGCCGGCGTCTCGCTCGGGCTGAAATGAGAAGAGGGGAGACCCTGGGAGTCCCTGGTGCTGCAAACACCCCCCTCCATGTGCGTTTACCCCTCTTGGGGACCTACCTCCCCGTGGCCGGGTTTCTGAGCCAACGGGGGCTTCTTGAGGATGCCCCTCCTGGGGGCTGGTGCTGGCTTTGCCTCCCCATCCTCTGCTGCGTCGTAGGTCCCGGCCAGGGCGTAGTGCTGCTTCCTGAGCTCGCCCAGGCGCACCCGCTCGCCTTCCAGGCGCTTCTCCAGCTCCAGCACCTTCACCTGCACCCAAAGAGCCCTCCTGGGTCCTGTGCACCTCAGGGGTGCGATCCCTGCCCTTCCCAGTGCCACGCTGGGGGGCAGGAAAAGGGTCCTCCCCATATTGTCCAGGTCCGGATCAGGACCTTGGCCTGGCCAGAGAATGGCAGCACCAAATCATGTCCATACCTGTGTTTCCATCTCTTCCTTCTTCAGCTTGATGAGGGACATGCCTGAGAAGTCCATGGTGTCTGTGGAGAAAAGCAAGGGTTTGTCACCGAGCACCCCCTCCTCATATGCCAAAGCACAGTTGGCTGAACATCTCGGGGTGTTCACCCAGGCAGAAAGGGATTTGGGGTGGTTTTTCTCCCCTTTCCTTGTAAAAACCTCACCTTTCTCCTCAATCTGCTCTTGTCCTGACTTGGTGGAAGCCACCACATTTGCCGCCATCTCGTTGACGTTGCGCGAACACTCCTGGAGCTTGCCCAGGTTCCTGCTGCTCTTCTCGGCTTTCACCTGCAAAGAGCAGAGACACTGAGCACATCGTGTCAGAACGGACCTTAGAGGTGAAAACCTGGGGGTGCAAAGGATGGACACACAGGTGGACACGTGCTTATCCTTGATGATCCCATCACGGCCAGGCAATGACCTGTGCGAGCCTTGGGGCACCAAACCAGCTCTGCGCCCATCGCAGCACACACGGACAAGCAGTGAAGACAGAGCTATTCTGGTTTCAACCATGCTCTTCATTTTAAAGCCATCTGCTGTAAGAAGCCCTGTGGGTCCTCCTCCCCCAGCCTGCCTCCCCGTTTGCTCATGGAAACCTCCCCCCATCGCTTTCACCCACACCAACAGGAAAGGTGGCAAGGACCAAACTCCGTCATTCTCAATGCTGGCTCCTGCAGGTGCTTATTTGGGGTTTCTCATTAATAATTAACGTTTTCTTTACGCAAGCAGCTTGACAGGAGGTTTTACACTTCTTCATTTCCAAGGCAAGGGGTGGGAATATTAATGCAGGTGAAGAGAGAGGGATTAAAATCACAGACTGACTTCAAAATAGTAAGAGCTTCCTCCCTCCCTGCTCCAGGAGGAGGCTGCAGGACTGGGGGACAACCACACACCACTGCCTGAGAGCATCCACGGGACAACACTGTGGGAACAAAATGCCTTAAAGCTTGAGGAGCTGCCTGCAGGAATGGTGTTGGGATACTTACCTTGGAGGCAGCTACGAGCTGGGCTGTGCTGGCAGCGATTTCATGGGAGCAGACGATCAGCTCTTCGTATTTGCCCATATGCAGGACAACTCTGTCTGCTGACTCCCTGTGTTACAGGTTAGAAGGGAGATTGTGTTAGATACTGACCATGCACTACAGAGCAAGTGCAGGTCATTTATCTCCTGCTCTATCCTTAGAAACCAGCGTCAGACCTTGAACCAGCAGCTTTGCCTGTAATTATTTAAAGCTCATTTACAAAGCAATTACCCAAAGCCCAAATGCAGACGTTCTGGATGGGTATAAAACACCAGCAGAGGCAGGACTGTGTGCCCATAATGAAGTGGGTGAGATTTTTAAAGCTTTGTCCAAAAACACCCCTGCTGGCCTAGGGATACCCTGCCCCAATCCCAACCACCCCATCCACAACCATCTGAGCAGGAACCAGGACACGGAGTATTTGATTGAAGCAACTTTGCAAGCAGGAGCTGGCAGCCCCTCTTTCACTGACCCACGTCCAACCCAGGATGCTCTACCAGGAATTACCAATAATGCTCCGTGCAGACTCAGCTGCATGGGACAAGCTGGGTGCTGGAGAAGCATGGGCCAGCCCCAGGCACAGCCCATGGAGCTGGAGAGGCCACAGGAGAGCTGCCGGGGTACCTACACAAGCTGCGTGGCTCCCCAGCCCACCGCCTTGGAGGCAGAGATCAGCCCTTCGGTCCAGCGCGAGTTCTTGGCATAAAACTCCTGAGTTGTTGCTGCCCCCTGTTGTTAAGAGAGCGTTATGGCCTGTATTAACTTGGATCTAATGTACAAAAATATGTAATCCATAAATCCATATAAAATAGCCATATAAAACATCACCATATAGAAATTAATCCATAAAGCCATAAATCAAGAGATCGGCAGCATTTCTGGGCCCTTCAGGCCATTCTTACTGGCCTCTTTAAATATATATCAATAAAACAAAGCATTAGAGCTCCAAGCCTGCAAATTTGGGCTGGGTTTAAACCACACAAATTCAGGCCATTGTCTTTAGACAGACAAGGCCTTGCAAAGGTAACAGTGATGTGTGCAGAGAGCACGGGGCTGAGACTTACCCGGCCACTTTCTACTATCTCCTTCTGTAGGTTTGTAGATGTCATTACAAGGAGTCTAATGGCCTGGAATGAAGAAAAAAGAGGTTTTGATGTTTGAGAAGGATTGATGCTGCCATGGTGAGAAGTTACGGTTTTGCACAGTCTTTGATGGCCCAGCTCAGCTTCTGCAGTACTCACCTTCATTAGGTCCGTGCAGGAGTTCAGAATCCTGTAGGGGAACAAGAGAAAGCATTCAGCATCCTCCAGTGCTGTGTCCCAGTTAGCAAAATGGGTCTATTTTGGAGACCAGCCAGCCTGCAGGCTACTTCTAAGCAGCCCACAAAGAAGCTGCAAACAATGGGCTGAGACGTGCAAGACCAAAGTCCACCCCTCTAAAGAGAATGTCACGATCACCGTAAGGACGGTGCAGCACCGGGTTGTATGTGGGGCTCCGGAGCAGGGCACAGCCCAGCAGGGTATGGGCACGGACAGAAACCTGCCCGTGGCTGCCACAGCCACCCCTCAACACTAAAAACACCGCTCATTCACTTCAAGCTTAACACCGGAGCTCTCATTTCTGGCCTGGCTCATCATCTCCTGTTGGGAAACACAAGAGGAAGGGTTGGATACCGTGTTGCCGCAAGGCATCCCTTCAACGTGGCATCCCTGCAGGATGAGCAGGGTGGAGGGGAGATGGACACTCTGCTGCCCCAAGGGACCAAAATGGTCCACCCTGCAGCTCCATCTCACCTCTATCCGCCTGACAGCATCCTCAATTGCCTGCGAGGTGGAAGCCATCTCCTTCTCAACCATGTCCCCCAGCTCTTCTTGCTTGATGTCCAAGCTCTTGGGCCTCAGCTCCTGCCAGAGGAGGCAGCAGCCACCAAGACGTTTTAGGTAGAAGGAGAGAAGGGAATATTTGTAAGGAATAACACCAAAGCAGGGTACCCGACTCCTTTTTCCCCCCCCTTAAATAAAGCTGCAGAAGCAGCATTCTGCAGACCACAAGGGTGAAGGTGTATGCATACGAAGGTATATTCCTTGCAGGAAACATGGCGCAGGGTAAGAAATGCCCCAAATCAAGATGACAAAACTCAATCCCAGGTGCAGTTTTGCCAGGCAGAGCTCTAGAGGGCTCTGGAGAGCTGACAGCCTGTGAATTCACTGTGGCTTAATGGAAAAGACTAATGGGGGCTTCACAAGAAGAAACAGCTGAAAGTTGAGAAGTTTTACCCCACAGGGGTTGAAAGACTTCAGCTGGTCTGGGTCTCAGTGCTCAGAAGCTGAGATGGCTCAAGGAAAGCACCAGAACCTGTGGGTATGGGGGACAAGCCACCCCAAAGAGCCAGCCCACTGCAACCCAGCACCTCTGATTTCAGCTCCAGACTATGAGAAATGCCATAAAAGCCACGGGTTTGGGTATTTTTCTTTAAAAAGCAGCTGTCCATCAAGGAGCAGCTTGGAGCACACGTCCCACCTTGTCAAACGGAGGCAACATCCCTCCGCATTAACTGCCTGCTCTGATTTCCCTTAGGGGAACAAACACCCATGCCAATGAGCAGCCCACCCTGCAGCCCCCATGGGAAGGTGGGTGCAATGGGCTCCATCTCCTACCTGGGCCAGCTGCAGGACCCCCCTCAGCGCCCGCCGCACGTCCCCCAGCTCAGCACACCCCAGGGTCTGCTTGTCCTTCAGCTTGCCCAGGTAATCCAGGCTCTGCTGCCCACAGTCCCGGCACGTCTCCGTCAGCCCTGGGGAGAGGATGGGTTGGTGGCAGGTCCCTCAATGGACAATGGGTCTCCCTATCCCATCCCCACCACCCTCATCCTCCTCCTCCCCTCAGCTATGGAGATGATGCCACACATCGATGGCATCCAGAAGCTTATTGCAGAAGAGCATAAATCAGTTTCCAGGAGTGAAACAACAGCCCTGGGCCAGGAAAGGGCACCCAAGTGGAGGGAATGTTGGGAAGATGGGATAATGCTGCTCCCAGGGAAAACCTGCCCCACAACCAGCCCCTACCAGTGGATACTTTGGCATGGCCAACCCCCCCCCAAAAAGCTACACAAGCAACAAGAACCCCCAACACGCAGTGCCCGTGCACAGCACTCACGGTCAGCATGGTCAGTGGGAGCCAGATGGGACGTGGCGCTGCCATTCACAATGGTGTCGGCCGTCAAGTGTGCAAAGAGGGCCAGAGCCCCCACCAGCCCCGCAGCATCTGGTGGTGAGAGGATGTGCTCAGGTTCTGCCAGCCCAGGGCACCATTTGCCATGTCCTGGGGGCTTCAACCTGCCCCCGAATGCACTCAAGGATCAATACAAGCGCTTGGAGAGGCTGGTATTGACCCTTCCAGCTTGCAGGTTGCTCCTTGAGTGAGCACACAGGAACCCACCCGCTCCATCTCCCCATCACCAGGGCATTGCACGCTTGCCTATAGCCCCAAAGCAGCTGCAAGCTGCTGGATGTATAGAAGTAAAAGCAAGGTGCAAGCGATGCCACCGGCCCCCAGCCCCAGGTACCTGCCATGGAGGCCACGTACTGCGCGTGCCCGTTCTCCAGGGCATCCGTGGACTCCAGCGCTGCCTGCGCCCGGCTGAGCAGGTAATCTGCAAGGAGTGTGGCTTCGTTAGTGTCTCAAGGAGCACAAGAGCTGACTCCGTGGGGCACCACTGAGCGGAAGCCAAGACAGCTCAGGTCCTTGTGGCCCTGGCCTGGGAACAGCACTAAAATCTGAGCGAAACAGTGCTCTTTATAAGAGCTATAAATTCACTCCTGGGAAGCCTGACCCCAATATCCCTGCGGTGATGTTTGGTAGGGAAAAAAAGGCCTGGGGGAAGCTGAGGTGCAATGTTATCTGGGTTGCAGGCCCCGAGGTCAAGTGGTGGGTACCTGGGGAGCTGGTGCAGCGGATGTGCAGTGGGTCATCCAGCTTGGCCACGGCGTCTCGGAGGATGTCCTCTGCCTCCCGCACCGTCTGCTGCAGGATGATGAACTGCTCGTCCAGCAGCTTCTGCTGCAGGCTCTGCTCCTGGTTGCTCTGTGGGGAGGCAGAAGCAGGCGAGTGGCACAACTGGGGCACAGGACCCCTATCACCCCATCACCATCATATTCCTTCAAAGCACCTTCGCAGGATTAGACTCAAGCATCCCATTATTGCTGCTGCAAGTCACATCCCACTGGCTACACCAGTGATGGCTCAGCTGAGCCCCCTGACTGCTCAGCACCCCCCAGACACATCTCACCAAGCAGAGGGGCAGTGGGCTCCATACCTTCTCCAGGAGCCTGCCCTGAAGCTCTCGGATCTCCCTCGAGGTCTTGTCCGCCTCCTGGCTCAGCTGCAGCTCCTTCTCCTCGATGAGGCCACGCGTGGAGAGCAGCTCACACTCCTTCTCACTCACCGACCGCCTCAGCACCTCCTTCTCAGCGTGCAGGGCCTCCACCTGAGCACTGAGCTCCGTGCCTGCCTACCAGTGGGAGCAGGAGACCCCTGTCACTCCCCTGTCACCACATCATGAGCCCAACAGTTACACAGCGGGGAGCTGAGGACATGCCCAGCTCGTGACACCGATGGGGTGGACCCACATTCAGCCCCCATGACATTGCCTTGCGCTGCTGTTTGCTTGTGTGATGGGCTTTGTGGCGGGGTCTGGGCACATCCTGCACCCCATCCTCGTACCTGCTTGGCTTGGCCGAGCGAGCGCTGCGCCTGCTCCAGCTCCTGCTGTTTGCTTGTGTGATGGGCTTTGTGGCGGGGTCTGGGCACATCCTGCACCCCATCCTCGTACCTGCTTGGCTTGGCCGAGCGAGCGCTGCGCCTGCTCCAGCTC